CCCCAATTTTCAGAATGTCAGGCACGAAGCGTTCGCTAAAATGGGTAGGGGGAAAGAGAGAGGCCGGTCTATGCCACTATAGGTTAGAGGGGGGATTTTAAACTGTTCCACTTTACCGGGGGGGAAAAGAGTATTCGGGCCTGCACCATTTTAAAGGATTGTGAGCTGGAACACATTTGGGAGAATTCTGGCCTGTAACACTAGATTTAATAGAAGAATTCTCAGGTGTACCACTGCAGACTTTTTGGGGGGGTGGAGTGAATCAGGTCTAGTCCACTATAAATGGGAAGGGATTCTGGGCCGCAACACTTTTTGGGAGAGGGAGAGATACAAGCTGTATCATTGCATCAAGGAGGGGGACTGTGGGCTGTACCACTGTAGATTAGAAGGAAAATGCAGGGTGTTTTTTAAAAACAACAACCAGGGAACACCCCAACCTACCTTTCCTTTATAGAGCAAAAACTAGCACAGAAGGAAATGATTATGGTTGAGGAAGCATTTAAACACAAGTAGAGGTGGAGTATGGAGACTGAATGACTAATCAGAAGTTCCTGCCTATATATTTTTGACCCTTCAAAGAGCTCAGAGCAGCACAGTTGTGGCTGCCAAGTGCCTGCTTTAGCCTAACAACAGACCTAAGAGGCAGGTTAGGCAAAGAGAGACAAGTCTAAGGTGCCCCAGTGAGATCCACAGCTCAGCAGGGGAAGAAACCCCTCCAATCCTTTGCCTATCTTAAAATGAGCATTACCTATTTCATGCTACCCTAAGAGCCAACGAACAGCTACAGAACGCTTGTCTTACGGCCATTCTGGATCTGTTGACAACTCATCCACAAACTGTAAGCTTGAAGTAAGTCTCTACTGCTTAAAAAAAATATGACCCAATACACCAATGGAATTGGTGTAAGAGTCCAGGCTAACCCAATCTCAGAAGCTAAGCAGAGTCAGCCCTGGTTTGTATTTAGATGGGAGGCCACCAAGTCATGATAGAGGCGGACAACAAAAAACCACCTCTGAACATCTCTTGCCTTGAAAACCCTACGGGGTCACCCTAAATCAGATGTAATCTGATAACACTGTCCACCACCATGGTTTAAGACTGCAACCTGGGAGACTACAGGTGTAGAGAAGGAGGCCTGGCGTTCTGAAACCTCATCCTATACTCTAGTGGTAATACTACCTAGTAAATAAAGACCATCTGGATTCACCCCAAGTCCTTCCTAGTGCAAGCCACCAGCAAAGAGCCAGCCTGATGTAGTGGTTAAGAATGGCGGACTCTGATTTGGAGAACAGGGTTTGATTCCCCACTCCTCCACATGAAGCTTGCTGGGTGACCTTGGGCCAGTCACAGTTATCGCAGAACTTTCTCAGCCTCACCTACCCCACAAGGTACCTGCTGAGGGGAGGGGAAGGGAATGAGATTGCAAGCCATTTTGAGACTCCTGAAGGTAGAGAAAAGTGGGGTATAAAAACCTTCTTCTTCAGGTTGCAGGAGAATGAATTAGGCCCCGTCTACTCCTTCCCCTCTGGGAGAGGCAGATCAAGAGAACATAACAGGTACCTGCTTGCAGTGACATTGTTCATGATAGCTCTTGGGGAGCATGGACCAATTCAGCAAAAATCAAAACTCATGCCCCCTCCTGAAGAAAGGGATGTTCTTGAGTTGAGCCCTATCTTTATACCTAAAAATACAAGACCTTTTAATGTTCTACCACTTTTTTTATATATGCAATTTTCTCCTGGACACATCATTCTGTTGCTTTCTTAAAAAGAAAACCCTGTGCATGATTCAAAGGCACACGGTGCAGCAAATTTAATGAAATAAGTACATGAGAGTTTGGCTTCCATGGGTATGAAAGAATAATGGGATACAGATGGAAGATTTAGCATTGGCACAGCTCTCATTGAGAGTAGAATCAGGTCCTTTTCTATACCACTGATTTGCAGTTGGTGTAATCCACAAGCGGGTCACTCCCTAAGCCCCACGGCTATATGAATAAGGCTTTATTTTCTAGTCAATGTACATAGAACTGAGCCCTCAGCCCCACACCACGTGAAGTCAAAGTTCTGGTCAACTATACAGGGAGTACCAGGCCGTGGCCAATTTCTCCTCTTGCTCACTGTCCTGGCAGAGATACGTGTCTTCTCCCTAGCCCACAGACAGATCCTATAACTGCCTCTAGGTTTCTTATTTTAATAAAAGTATACATATGAAAACTCCAGAGAACAAATGCAGAAGAGCATTCCTGAAGTGAACACGTGGCCCTCTGGAAGCAAGGCCCGATCTGTGGGGGGGGGAAGTCCTGTCCCCAAAAGCAGCAAGCGAAACAGCTCTGGCCTACAGCACTGACACAATGCCCACTGACAGCTTCTGCGGTCTCTATTTCTTCTGTTTGGGAGGAGGTCTGAAAAGGGAGAAAAAAAAGAGGAGAGACTGTTAGTTTCTAATGTATCATGATATTCAGTAGTAAAAAAACCTGGCTGTTACATGGGTGATAAAAAACAACAGACCACCGGCAGACAAGACAAGAGGTGTCTACATTCTCAGGTGAATTTTTTTTTGGGGGGGGGAATATATTAATCTATAAGGTAACCAAGAGGGAGCAAAAAGAACAGAACTGGTCTGATGAGGAATACAGCATGTCCTAGAGTCTTGGAATATTGAGGAAGTCAGGAAAAGAGGAAGTCACCTCTCATATTTATTCCTCCTCCCTCTTTGCCTACCCGTCCGATCTTTCTAGAGGCCTGCCTTCTCTTTTCTCTACTAGCTTTATTGCCTTCCCCTTCTCTACCATCCTCAACTTGCAGTTGGTGCTCCCAGAGTATTCTGGGTTGCCAAAACTATCTCTCACCACAGCCAGGCCCTCCTCCCTTTGTGTTTTGGGAGCACTGTCTACAGGCTTCAGCGCCCTCTGTTAAATCTCAGGCATGTTAGCTGGCCCTCAATGCTTGGCAAAGGGCACTAAGACCTACAGCACAATCAGAGGAGGAGGGCCTCAAGATCTTCACAAAGGGTTGCCTCGAAAATGGAGGTCTTGGGCGGCAGCAACGATCTCTGGGGGTTCCATTCTGGAATTTTGATGTTATGGTTTTGGGAGGAGTGTTAAGCCCCACTTTTATAAAAAAACAGGTAATACCCAATTTTCCACTGGCAACAGAGGCAAGAAGAGGACTATTTGACCACAGAAGAATCCTCGCCAGCGATCACAAGATCCGTGTGGATCAAAGACACATGGCAAGGTAGCTACAGCATGTAGGGGTGAAGTGATTAGCAACCCAATGTATTTTTCTGCAGACTTGATGATTATCTCAAATAAAATCTACAGTGCTTACGATGAAGTTTTGTTTTGCTTGGGGTGTGTGCGTGCGCACAGCAGCACACACAGGGGCTCTTAGATATACAAATGACAAGTGGTTGAGGGGAGAGGAGAATTCAAGTTCTTGAGGACTAAAAGCACTCTGAAAGGCAATGGAAAACAGGCTATTTGAGAAGGAGGAATTAGTACAATGGTTACCTCAACCTCAAATGCCTAGCTGAATGTTCAATCTAAGCCATGGAACATTGGGGGCAACCCTAAGCAGATCTACTCAGAAGCCAGCCTCACTGCATTCTATGGCTCTTACTCCCAGGAAGGTGCTCATTGCATTTCAGCCGCAGAGTTTCTCGAATGCATCAATTGCACAGTCGCAAAGCCACTACTAAAGACTTTGCTCCTAACAGAAGCTGATCCCAGCCGCCCAGGAAGATGGAAATTTGAGCAGAGTCTCACTGGCTGAGCGTACAACCTGGGCAAGCGTTGGAAGGGGAAAAGCTCATCTTTTTTTGGGGGGGGGGGGAGGCCACACACCGCTTTCAAAGTCAGAAAGATTTTTAATGGCGTGGAAACAAATATTGGCAGCCAATACAAAAGTCAGAGGCTAATGCTACCAGTTCTTGTTGGCTCATGGTGGTGCCACCAAGTCACAGCTCACTTATAGCAACCCCGCATGGTTTTCACGGCAAGAGACGTTCAGAGGTGGTTTGCCATGGCCTGCCTCCATTTATTTATTTTTTATTTATTTTTAAATGTATATCCCGCCCTCCCTGAAGGCTCAGGGCGGCTCACAAGGGGCATAAATGCCGAAGTTAAAACAATAAAACAATACAAAACAGCATAAAATAGAATAAATACAATTCGCTAAAAATTCATTCCACGGTGCTCCAAGAATATTTAACTATAGGTCCATGTCACGACCCTGGTATTCCTTGGAGATCTCCCCATCCAAATACTAGCCAGGGTTGACCCTACTTACCTTCCAAGATCTGACAAGATCAACCTAGCCTGGGCTATCCAGGTCAGGGCTCAATCCCCGGCAGGGCCCCCCCCCCCTTTTTTTTTTAGTAAAACACCCCCACCCCCAATATTCAGAAGCAAGGGCACATTTTGGAAGTTTAACCCCCTGGGTGTGTCCCCCCCCCTTTTTTTGTTTTCTCCTCCATCCATCTTGACTAATGAATAAGCCTCTCAGATATGCTTTTAATGTATCCCAAATGTTATTTAGTGACATATCCTCTGTTCTATTTGTTTTTTAAAATTCCTTCACTTCTGATTGGATTTTTTCAACAAAATTTTTATCTCTTAATAATCCAATATTTAATCTCCATCTTTTAGTTTTATATGTTTCTTCTAGGGATAACCAAATAGGATTGTGGTCTGCAAAGGTGTTGGGTAAAATATCCACCTCTAGTAGATCTTTCGCCATGTCGATATTTATCCAGGCCATATCTATTCTTGACCACGATTTGTGTCTATAAGAGAAATAAGTGTAGTCTTTTTTCTTTTTTTTTGGTTCCTTGTTCTCCAAATGTCTATCAGATTAAGTTCTTCTGCCAGTGCTAAGAAACGTTTAGGTAACATAGCTCCTGCTTTTAAAGTTTTTTTCATTTTTTTCCTATCTTCCTTCCCACAACACAAACATCTTTTAACCCCTTGGTTTTGTTTGGCATTACTCAGGTTCTAAAGTCTATTTGGAACACTGAAAGGAACTAGACCTCACAATTGTCCAGGGCTCATTCACTCTTTACATCATAAACAAAGTACAAGCAGAAGCTTCAGCCACAAGTCCCTGTCCAAACTTTGGCTCCAGATTCTGATTTCAGGAAGGAAAACACGCAGTCCGGGTCTGATTCCTGGTATGTCACAGATCCAGCCAGCTTTTTCACTCAGTCTTGTCCAATCCCCCTTCTTATGGCAGCCTCCATCCCTCATGGCTTTTGGCTGTGCAGGTCCCATGATTCCCAGCAAGTACTTTTGGTGGTCAAAGGTGACCCTCTCCTTCCTTTTTCACCAGTAGAAAAGCTGTTTGGATCTCACCCACTATCCTCAATGTCTAATTGAGAAGTTGGTAGTGGGGGAAAGTGCCGTCAAGTCCCAGCTGAATTACGGTGACCCTATAGGGTTTTCAAGGCAAGAGACATTCAGAGGTGGTTTGTCATTGCCTGCCTCTGCGTCATGACCCTGGTATTCCTTGGAGGTCTCCCATCCAAATACTAGCCAGGGCCAACCTTGCTTAGCTTCTGAGATCTGACAAGATTGAGTTAGCCTGGGCCATCCAGGCCAGGGCTGTTGGCTCATACTTGCTGCCAAAATGGGCGGGTGACCTTCTGTGCCTTTTCTGTACAATTTTTAAAGGCAACCCAATGGAGGGCAAATTGCACTAATACAGGGCAATGAAGAAGAGATTGGATTTATATCCCGTCCTTCATTATCCGAAGGCGTCTCAGAGCAGCTTATAACCTCCTTTCCCTTCCCCTCCCCACAACAGACACCCTGTGAGGCAGGTGGGCTGAGAGAGCTCTTTCAAGAACTATCCTTGAGGGAACAGCTCTGAGAGAACTGTGACTGACCCAAGGGCACACCAGCAGCTGCATGTGGAGCAGATTAGAGTCCGTGCACTTAACCACTACCTCAAACTGGCTCTCTACTACACCAAACTGTCAGGAGCTCTGCCTATGTTCCAGCAGTGGGCACAGCTGGCAGTTTTTCCACAACTGGCACAAGGCATGTGATCACAACCCCCACCTGAGAATTTTGCAGCAGTTCATATCCATGGAGAAGAAGAGATTGGATTTATACCCCGCCCTTCACTACCCAAAGGAGTCTCAGAGCGGCTTACAAACTCCTTTCCCTTCCCCTCCCCACAATAGACATCCTGTGAGGTAGGTGGGGCTGAAAGAGCTCTGACAGAAACTGCTCTTTTTCAAGAACAGCTCTTATCAGAACTACAGCTTGCCCAAGGTCATCCAGCAGGTGCAAGTGGATGAATGGGGAATCAAACACAGTTCTCCCAGAGTAGAGTCCGCACATTTAACCACTACACCAAACTGGCTCTCTGGATACACCTCAAAGTGATCTGGACAAGCACTTAAAACTAGTAACAGCATCAGAGTCGGAAGGGGCAGAACGAGGCAGGATTTCTACCCAGCAGCCTATAACATGTGCAGACCTCTCTAGGTCCCATCCCCCCCATGACAGCATAAGGATGCCAAATATCTGTAACTCCAGCTTTTTGGCTAATACAACCTTTGAGGCAGCCAATACAAAATAGATCAAAACAAAATCAGTCCAGCAAAATGGGTATTAACGGCAGCCAGCAATAGGGAGGAGCTGTAGCTCAGGGTCAAAGCATTGGCTTGACAAGCTGAAGGTTCCAGGTTCAGTCCCCGGCCTCTCCAGTTCACAAGGTCAGCCAGCTGGTGGTGAGAAAGACATCTACACCAGAGACCATGCAAAGCAGCTGCCAGTCAAAGCAGGCAACACCGGGCGATGGTCTGACTCAGTAAAAGGCAGCTGCAGGCATCACATTAACCCAACACCAACAGTAGAAAAGATCAAGAGTCCAGTGGCACCTTAAATAACAAAAATTTGTGGCAGGGTATGAGCTTTCGGGAGTCACTGCTCACTTCTTCAACACCAACTGACATCAAAAGTCAAAATTTAAAGCAAGCCCCATTTCTGGGAGAATCCTGAATGTTCCAGTTCCCTAAGGAACTTTTCTCACTCAAAGACAAAACGCTCTCAGGAAATGTCAAGATTAGGTTCTTTTGCTACACTGTATAATTTTGGCACCACAGTTCAGAAGGCCCTCATTCGTGCGGCTCCTTCAGTGACTGGACGTGGAGGATGGCCTCAGTCTTGGATATCCTTGGAAGTTCACAAGTTATGCAATGCTACTGTCTCAAAATAGTAGCCAAGAACTGCCAGAAGTTCCGAATGATCATCTTAGTGCTTAGTCTGGATCCCAACTAAGTTTTCTGCTAACCACCAATTTCCCCTTCCTGCTGCTGACCCCCCATTCTTGCGTGTCTCCCCCGTTCCCCCCCGAACAGCATTCCAAGGGAGATCAATGGGCTGCAGCGAAATCAGGAGGGAGGCAGGAAAGTTCTGCTCCGCTGACAGAACTGCCTGCTAAGAACCAGTTTGGTGTAGTGGTTAAGTGCGCAGACTCTAATCTGGGAGAACCAGGTTTGATTCCCCACTCCTCCACTTGCAGCTGCCGGTGTGGCCTTGGGTCAGTCACAAGTTCTCTCAGAGCAGTTCTCTCAAGGACAGTTCTGTAAAGAGCTTCCTCAGCCTCACCAACCTCACAGGGTGTCTGTTGTGGGGAGGGAAAGGAGTTTGTAAACTGCTCTGAGACTCCAAGTGAAGGATGGGGTATAAATCCAATCTCCTTTTCTTCTTCTTAGATGGAAATATAGCCCAGACCCAACCTGCAGCCTTTGCCGAAATTTGGGCCAGCCTCAGACCCCCTTCCTCTAGAATCTGGGTAAATAACAGTGAACCTTCTTGGCCGTGGAATCAGTTCCTGAGATAATGGATGTAAAGTATTTTGGACAAATTTAAGTGTCAAGTGTAAATGCAAATACGCACACCCACTGCCCTTCATTTGCCGTTTATGCAACTGTTTTTCTTTGCCAGGGTTTATGAAGCCTGACCAGTACAGTGCTGACAAACCCATAGGAAATTTCATCTTCCTTGTTGGACGGCAACAACTGAAGCTCACCTGGTTCTCACAGCCTCAAGCCTGCCCTTGCTGCCTCTTGTCCCGGACTTTGAACATACCTATAAATGCCCACCACCACAGCATGGTCTCGCTCATAGGGCTCCAGGGTCAACTGCTCCTGGGGTTTCATGTTTTCCTGCTGCATCTTCTTCACCTCCGATGCAAAGACTGCCTCAGGCGCTGCTGTTGAATCAATGCAATTGGCCTGGGGGAGGGGAAAAAGCAATCAAGTTTGGGAAAGAAAGTGGATGGTGTAGTAGTTAATCAAGTGTCCATTGGGGACGTCTGCATTTGGGGGGGTATTTTTGCATTTTGTGTGTATGTGCGCGTGCATGCCCGTGCCTGGAAATCATGGTGACCTCTGGCAACCCCTACTGGGGCATGGAGAACATTCAGAGAAGTGGATTGATAGCCTGCCTCTTGGCCCTGGTATTCTTTGGAGGTCTCCCATCAAAATACTCACCAGGGTCAGTCCTGCTTAGCTTCCAAGATCTGACGAGATTGGGCTTGCCTGGGCTATCCAGATCTCGTCAGATCTCAGCAGCTAAGCAGGGTCAGCCATGGTTCGTATTTGGATGGGAGACCACCAAGGAAGTCCACAGTTGCTAAGCAAAGGCAGGCAATGGCAAAGCCACCTCTGAACATCTCTTGCCTGTCTCACCATAGGTTAGCTGTGATTCCTGCAACACTTACACACACACTCTGCTATGAAGCCTGTTAGGTAATCTTGGACCAGTAACACTACTTCACAAGGCTGTTAGTAAAAATAAAACGGGGAAAGGAGAACCCTACACACCACCTCATGCTCCTTAGAGTAACGGTGGGATAAAAGTGTGGTAGACAGAGGTTTTTTCAGCCAGCCCAGACATAAATCCCAGGAATG